CTGTATAATTTACTGTGGGTCACCCATTTTGAATGTTTTAAAGTTATATCCAAAGGTGTCACCTTCATAGACTGAGTGACATCTTGTGATAGTAAAGGTTATGAAATAAAGAAACATATCACACGTCTTATTAATCTTTAGACAGACAGTCAGAAGGATTTCTGACTTATATTTGCAGGTATCAAAAAGTATGAGACAAAACACTTCTGTGAAAGTTTACAGGGAAAATAAATCAGCATTTTGGAAAAAAAAGACTTTGCATCTACTTTCTGGGATGGAGTGACTTTGATCTTTAAATAGTTACAAATGAATCCAAATAGAGTTTGGGGCTTTTTGAAGTCTGCATAAGTGATTTGCATTTCAAAAGGTCCTGCAGTAAACACCAGTTAAGGTCCCAAAAGTCTTCTAAGAAGATGATTAACTTGAGAAATCCTTTGTTAATAATTAGTGGGGCTGACTCCTGGGAGGAATTACATATGGGGGAAAAAAATTCATGTATCATCATACACTGGATTCTGGATTTTGAAATCAGTTTGGGTTGTAGGGTTTTTTTTGTTTTGTTTTGTTTTGGTTTGGTTTGGTTTTGGTTTTGTTTTTTTTTTTAAATCACAATTGAGTGTGTGATGGAACATTATATTTATGTTTGAGTTCATAGGAATGTAAAGAAATCATACAAAGAATGTTTAACAGCATACAAAAAAATGTAGTTTGCTTTTCTGTGAGCTCTGTAGAGTCACATGAATTGATAAACAATACATTTTATACTATCAACATACTGTGGACCAAAATTCTTCTTGAACATTATGAAACAAGACCAAAACCTCTGTTCCTGTCTGAGATCACTGTCTAAATGTAAGTAAAGAAACATCAAATAGGTAGATATGGCTTGACTACATGAAACATTCTTATAGAACAGAGTGGGTGTTTAAAAAATAAAAAATAAATAGAAACAAAACAAAGTTAACCTCCATCGAGTACTACTGTGCCCAGAGGAGTATCAGTCCTTTCCACATGGCAAGAGCATCCGTAACTTGAGCCACGGGATCATGCAGATGAGGCGAGACTGCTGAACATCATCTGGACCTCTTTCCTCATTCAAAGTATTTCCAGTTACAGACAGCTGCTCAATGCCTTTTCTGGTCAAGTTATAGGTATCTGCAACAATGGAGATTTCACAACTTTACTGGACTACCTGTGGCAGAGTTTGACCACTCACATGGTGGGGAAAAAATAATCCTTCCATCTGAGAAATTTTTTGTGCTGCAACTTGTCTGTGTTGCCTCTTATCTGAGTACTGTGGTAATCTGAGGAGAGTCTGGCTCTGTCTTCTCTAATCTTTCCCTTAGATAGTTGAAAACAGATGTAAGATCTGCCACTGAAGCCTCTTCTCCAGGCTGAACATCTTCTCCCAGCCTTTCTTCATGTGTGCAGCCATCCAGGTGGCATTTCAGAGCCCTGAGTGCACCAAATTCTGCAGCTCCTTTCCTGAAGGAAGCAGGCACCTCCACATGATACTGGAGAGCTGCATTTAAGATCAGCCCCTCAGCCTCAGCACTTGCTTGAGCACTGCTGCGGGTATGTTTCTTAACAAAGTGGATTAGGACCATGGCAGACTGGGTCTTGTGTCTCATTTCTTCCTTTATCAGACTTCCTGAGGTATCAACACAAGATGTTAATCCCTTTGCTTTAGTTGATGTGAATCATTATGACACCTCTAAAATAATTTTTATGCTATTTATTGTTATTTCAGGTGAGGTTCTGATCCATCTTTCATTTCCCAGTGGGGTAAATACAGCTCCAGGCCAAACTTGTGTCACATGTACCTCACTGCCTGATGAAAACAGGACAAAAACCCCCCTTACTTTTCTCATTTTTCACACTGTCTTCCATTCTTTAAAGCCACACTTCTCCATTATTGTGAAAGAGTATTGTAGAAAGAGGTATTTTTAGTCTGGATTAGGAACCTAAAAATTAATCATTAAAATAATACATGGCCATATCAGATGGATTAGCATATGCACCACAGTTCTGTAATGCCTTAGAGGGAAAAAGAAGGCTGCTTATGTGAAGTTGAACAGGACATCCAAGGGATTTCACAGGATCATCTTGTTTATCCATCTTTTCTACACCAGGATGAACTCTGTGTAAAGTTTTCTAGCAGAGACTACATTTCCGGAGTAGGAAGCAAATGCTAGACCATCTTAAAAAAAAAAAAAAAAAAAAAAAAAAAAGATACCAAGAGCTGATACTTCACCAAATTTTCAAATCAAATGTCCTTAACAAAATATCCTGAGAAAGGTTATTTTGGTGGCATTCATGTTCATGACAAACATGTTGAAGGCTAGATACATGCTATCTATAGCAGAAGCTACAGGCTGATGGAAAAGTTGCCTCAAGAAACTGCTAATTAAACATTTTGGACCCATTTTTCCTAGAGGTGTTGGGCACTACTGATATCTTTCATCGCAGTTGTCCCTTTCCTCACTCCTCTAAAATGCAATACTGGTGCTGTTTTTGTCCCAGTGTTCTTGTGTCTTCTTCTGAGAAGTCCTGTTATCTCACTTGTGATGCAAGATAAATTATTGGATCTGCTAAGTAACAAAACCCAGAATTTCTGGACGGTGCATAAGCAGCAGTGTCCTTAAGCCAGACTGTCTTGTTCCTTTTCACAGATGACTCTTAAATCATATAATTTAGGAAAAGGCTAAGGAAATGTCTTTATGTTGTGTGATTTCTATTAGCTGGTCATCAGTATTCATAAATGCCTTATGCAGGTGCAATTGATACTATAAATTCCATACTTCATGTCCTCATTGGGATCCCCTTTCTTCTTCCACATTCTCCTTCTCCTTACCATTGTCCTCTATTTCCCCTCTACTCTTCCATGTCTCAGCGAGATTCATGGTGATTAATGAAACTAGATGATCTCTAAAAAGCATCTAAATGATCTAAAATTATATTTAAAGATCCCTTCAAACTCAAATCATTCTGTGATTCCTGTATCCATGCAAAATCAGACACAGCTTTCTCCCTTGTCCTTGCATTAATGTCCTTATTTTCTTTTTTTTTTTTTTTTTTTTTCCTAAACTCCAGAATTAGTACAATTTTCTTGTTAAGCAAGAATTGAGTGAAGAATACTTGCTTGGCCTCCAATGGCTGCCATGACTTTTGTAGTGAAAAATGCTACAGAATTTATCTTCTAGGGCTTCAGGTTTTATCAGCAGCAATGCTTCATCAAAGAAAATTGCTGTCAGAAGGGCTGTCAGATTTTTTCCCTCTTAAACTTGACGCAATGCTTGGTTTTGTGCTTATAGTAAAAGGGTTTTTCTGAAAAGGCAGAATATATTTTACATAGGGAACTTCTATTCCTGGAAAACCATCCAAAAATCTAAGTAGAACTTTCTCTGGGATATTTTAAAAAAATATAGCTTAGGCTTTCAATTATATTTGAATGACATAGTCTAAACTGGCTGTACCCACTGTTCAGTCCCACTACTGTAATGCACAATTAATAGCCTTAAAAGAGAAAATCCTCCTAACCTCCCTTTCCTTTAATGAATTGTCTCCCTGTAAGAAATTTTTAAACCCCAAAACCCTCTTAGCCATATTTTCGACTTGCTGAAGGAAATTTTCCATTTATAGAATTTTAAAGTTTAGTTTTTCTATGAGGTTTTCTCAAAAATACATTTATTGCAACAAGCTGTAAAGCTTGATTTTTGTTCCCAGACAAGCAAATAGGTGTTAAGTATAAAGATATAAATATGCTGATATATTTTCTGACTTATTGGTCATTATATTAAAACTGCTGAAGTTATTGATGTCATTGGAAATTTTTCTTCATTTCTGATGTTTTCTGACTTGTTCTGGTATTTGCTGGGTTATCTCCTGTTATACTTAAGACTTTTAAATTCAGTGGTTTGCATTTTGACTGCCTGGCTTCCACTGATATAAAGTGAATTAGATGACTGATCCCTTGAGTGTCACACGTCCTCTGGGATCTAATAGATTTTTAGTACCAAGTTGGCTGACATTGCAAGTTATAATAGAGTCATCATCAGAGTAATTAAAATATTTATAAGTACCATAATAAAAATAATACAGCTGCATTAAATTCCAAATTAAAACATACTAATTTTGTTGGATTTCCTTTAGCAAAGCTAGAGAGAAAGAAAGGTTCTTCAGATAAGACTTTTGATGTGTGGAGTGAGCAGTTCAGTTTCTTCACTTCTCCATAATGCCTGGTTCAGGATTCAATCTTATCCCATGTGATATTTGGCCAATTTTATTTGATGTTTTATTTCCACTGGAATAATCTCCCTTGCATTTAAAAATAAATTTTAAACCATAAATATGATTAAACAATGTAAACCAGATTTTTCTTTCAAAGTATCTTGATGCCCACATGCATATTTCCTATGTAGGGAGAAGTTTTTTGGGGAAGGGGATTATTCAGCAGTATTCTGAGAAAATTGTCCTATGCTTTTCATAGGATAACTCAGGCTGGAAAGGACCTCAGGAAGTTTGTGTCAAACTTTCTGCTCAAAGCAAGTCAACTCTGGGGTCACAGGAAGTTGCTCAACCCTTGATCCCATTTGGCCTTGAAAAAGTCCCAGGACTGAGACAGCACAACCTCTCCCGGGCAGCCTGTTTTGTCTCTTGATCATCCATATGGTTTCCTTATATCCAGCTGGAAACCATTCTGTTTCAGCTTATAACCGATGTCTGTTTTTCTCCTAGTGTGCAACTCCATTAAGAACCTGGCTCCACCTTCTCTAGGCAATTGTCTTTATCACTGGTGAGGCCACACTTGGAGTTTGTCCAGTTCTGAGTGTCCCAGATACAAGAGAGAGATGGACATACTGGAATGAATCCAGGGGAAGGGTCACTAATATGATGAAGAGATTGGATATGATGAAGAGATTTCCTCTTCTATGAGGAAAGCCTGAGAGACCTGGGACTGTCAGTCTGGAGATGAGAAGGCTCAGGGGAATCTTATCAATGTCTATAAATACCTGAAGGAAGGCTGTAAAGAAGACAAGCCAGTTTCTTCTCAGTGGTGCCCAGTGACAGGACCAGAGGCAGCGGGCACAAACTGAAACACGGGAGGTTCCTTCTGAATATCAGGAAACCCTTTTTCATTGTGAGGGTGACAGAGCACGGGCACAGTTTGTCCTGAGAGGTTGTGAATCTTCTTCCTTGGAAATACTCAAGAGCTGTCTGGACACAGTCCTGGGCACCTGGCTCTAGGTAGCCCTACATGAGCAGGTGGGTTGGACCAGGTGACCTCCAGAGGTCCCTTCCCACCTCAGGTGCTCTGTGATTCTCAGTCCCCTACCTGCAGGCAGGGCCAGCTGCTGTTGGGTGTCCCTGAAGCCTTCCTTGCCTTTGGCTGAACTCCTGTTCCAATCCCAAACACCCTGGGGGCCTCCGAAGACCTTGATGCAGTTGATATCTTTTTGTTGATACCTTCCCTGTAACAGGCACCCCCAAAGTGGATGCAGTAGATGGGGATAATAATGTTTCTTAATCCACATGGCACACTTCTATGGATAACAGTCCCTGTGTGGCAGCACCTGTGGTTACTGTCACTTCCAGTCCCAGGAAGAGTCCCAGCATTCCCTGTAGCCCCAGGCACAGGTGCAGGCATAATCCCTGAGAACTGAGGCCACTGTGATGGGTTACTATTTTCACATACTTGCCATGTGGCAATGGGGGACCAAGCCCTGCAGGGCACTGCCACCACTGTTACGCAGCCCCATTCTCTCTGGAGCAGTATCTAGATTTCTTTCTTAGCACCAGTTGCTCTACTAACTGCAAAAATCTGAATTATTGCAATCCTAGCAGCTATCTCACTGTTCCCACAGCAGCTGTCTGGTAGCCCAGCACTATCTAACCAGCAAGCACTTAAAGACCCTTTTTAATCATGAACTGGACAAACTGTAAATGAGCTATAAACGGCAAAGCCCCTAGAAGTTAGCAGAAATGGCTAAAGCTGACAATCCCAATTTAAAAGCAGTATGATTAGAAAACAAAACAAAACAACCCCACAAACTGCTGGAAGGGAAATAAAATTTTTTAAATGAAGAAAAAAAAAATTCACATAATAAAAGAAGTTGTGGACTAGATATATTATACATATCTATACAGTTTTCTATATTTGCACTTTAGAGTCCATTAGGCAGACACCCTCATTTTGCCTGTATACCTTCAAAAGCGTAAGTTTTATGCCAGCATTTTTTTAATTCCCCTTTGAGGTAGTATGTGGATGTTACATACAGTTGTTTTTCTCTACTTACAATTTTAATAGAGTGAGTGTAAGAATAGGGGTTCTTCCCTTAGGGAAAGTTCATGCCAGTCAGCCTATCACCTCTTTTCTGGATCAAGCCTTTCCCCCTTACCCCCCTCCAAGAGTTTAGAGGTTGTTACATGTGCATATCCTCTCTTTAGATGAAGTCTGGATTACTTCTCTGTGAATTATTTTAAATAACAAGTGTTTATCAATGACAGTAGATAAGCAGTTCACATTGTCAGTTGTCAATACATCCGTGCATGCTTTCAGGTCTACCAGCTTTTCTTCTGGAGATCAGACACTACCTAAGCAATAGTTTCCAATTGAATTAATTACTGCTTAGTATAGCAATATGTTCTGCTCTGTTAAGTTAGCCATCTGCTCTTCCTTTTAAGCTTGGTTGTCCTTCCATAGTGAATTATTTAACCTAATGTAAGCTACTTAACAATGCACATCAGAAGCCCTTTGACCACCAGAGGTGGTGTTGAATTATCAAGGATACATTCAAAGCAATGTGATATTCCCTAGGAAAGGTGCCAGTTCTGTGATGGTGCACATTTCAAATGCACCTAAGTGACTCAGCTTAACCTCCTCTCCAAAAAGAGGTTGTGGAGTTCCTGTGGAATTGTGGTGAACAGAAGCAAGGAACGGTCCTATTTACTGTAGGTTGTGTTTGCAGCCCATGTTACGTTGTCCTGCTTTCCTGAATTCTCCCATGAACCAGAAGACAGACCAGTATATTAACAACCATTTTTTCTGTCTAAATCCAGCTGGATAGTGGCTAGATGGTTCCAGACTGTTGAAATCTTTCATGCCACGAAGAACACTCCTTCTGGACTTCTCAGGTGGAAATGTTGTGCCACTTTCATCTGAATGTCCCGAAAACTCAGTCTCCCTGCAGATTTAGTCTGTATTTGTTAGAAGTATGTTGGACGTGATTTTATAGGTGTATTTTGTCAAAGCATTTTTGCCTTTCTAGAATACTTTGCAATTTGAGGTTTCCCTTTATATATATATATATATATATATGTATAAACTAGGTGATCGTTTTTGTTGAGTCTTACAACTAATGTTTAATGATTTTTTATGAAGAGACAGGCATTGTGAAAAGCATGATATTTGTCAAATACTATCTTATGGTAGCACAGTATACAAGGAAACTCTACATAACCAAACCATTGTGTGCTGCTATGGGGCCTGCCGGGACTGGAGACCATGTTGACGTTGTCCCTCCCCCACCCTTGGGCTGGACAGGCTGGAAGTGAGGCACAAACCCTGGGGTTGAAAAAAGGAGAAATTTAATACAACAGTGTAATAAATAACAATCTGAACAACAACAATAGCAATAATAACAATAATAACAACAATAAACAGCAATAACAGTAAACAAGACAAAAGATACACAGAGAAATACCACAAATGGACACATCCAGCCCGCCACGCGTGTTTCCCCGGACCAAAGCCACAAAGGAAAGCTTCCCGCGCCATTGCGCTGGACCTGACGTCAGCATGGTATCAATAACCCAGCTGGAGATCCATTCACCCTGCTGGGGAAACTTAACCCATCCTAGCTGAACACGACACAGTGGTACCGTGCATTCTCTTTAGTTCAAGGTTCACTGCAGACTATAGTGTTAAATTAATCCCTTTTGTTTGGAAAGATTATTTCTAAAATACAAATGTACACTGAAACACTATTTTTTAGTATGCAACAACAGATGGAAGAATCAGTTTTTGATGTCATCATTAACAAATCAGAGAGGAGTGTGCTGACACACCAGCTTCTTGCTGTGTACTGATAAATTTAGTAAAACTCTTCATAAAAAGACATATACTGAAGCATAATGAAAAGAGCTGCATTTCCCTGGTTTGTCTTGTTGGGTATGGAAACAAGCTCTTAAAATTCTCTCTTTGCCATTACTACACATGTAATAAGCTTCTTTCTAAATTGTAGAGCACATGAACCTAGTTCTTATAGGTGACTTCAACTACCCAGACATTGTTGGAAGACCAATACAGCAGCTCACACACCATCCATTAAGTTCCTGAAATGCGTAGAGGACTGCTTCCTCAAACAAATGTTCAATGTGCCAACCAGGAATGAGACACTGATGGACTTGCTGCTTGCAAACCAAGAAAACCCACTTTGTAATATCTGAGTTAGTGACAATCTTGTGGAGTTTGGAATCTTGCTGAGTGTGCGGGAGGTCAGTACTAAGACAAAGGTTTTAGATTTTATAAGAGCAAACTTCAGGTTGCTCAGAGCTCAGTTGGGAGGGATCATGTGAGAAGCTTCTGTGAAGGATAAAGGAGCCAGCGAATGCTGGGAGTTCTTCAAGACTATTCTCCTGGAAGCACAGAAACAGTTCATCCACTTGAAAGGTAAAGGAATTAGGGAGAGTGAGAGACTCTCTTGACTTAACTGTGAGATTCTGAGTCTGCATGAAACCAAGAGAGGCATACAAAAGATGGAAAAGTGGATAAATACCTGTTGAGAACTACAAGGGCATTGTCAGGGTGTGCAGAGATGCAGTTAGAAAAGCAAAAGCTCAGCTCAAATTGAAATTGGCCAAAGATGTCAAAAATTATGAGAAAGAGTTCTTCAGGTATATAAACAACAAGCAGAAAAAAAAAGGAAAATATTTCCTCTCCGTTAAAGAGGAGAGGTGATTCAGTCACCAACAATGATGAGAAGGCAAAGGTTCTCAATGCTTTATTCACCTCTGTCTTTGCAAGCACCATTGGGCACAGTGGGAACAAAAAATCCAGGTCGATGCCAACACAGACTCACCATCAGTGAAGGAAGAGTTGGTGTGTGAACTATCACAGGAGCTTGAACTCTACAAATGTATGGGCCCTGACAGTATCCACCCAAAGGTGTTATGAGAGCTGGCTGATGTTGTTGTTAGGCCATCCTCCACAATTCTTGAGAAGTCATGGAGATTGGGGGACATCCCAGAAGACTGGATGAAGGCTAATGTCACCCCCATCTCCAAGAAGGGCTTAAAGGAGGATCCAGGAAATTATAGGCCCATCAGTCTTACTTCAATCCCTGGGAGAGTTATGGAACAAATCCTCCTGGGGGCTATCACAAGTCACATGAAGCATGTGATTGGGAAAAGCCAGCACGGATTGACCAAGAGCAAATCGTTCTTGACAAACTTGATCGCCTTCTACAATAAAGTAACCTGCTTGGTTGATGTGGGGTGAGTGGTGAACATTGTCTACCTGCATTTCTCCAAAGCTTTTGATGTGGTTCCCCACAGCCTCCTCCTACAGAAACTGGTGTACTACAGACTAGACAAGTGGTCTGTGCAGTAGGTGGGGAACTGGCTGACAGACTGCACCCAGAGGGTGGGGGTAAAGAGCTCTTTTTCAGACTGGCAACCTGTCACAAATGGGTGCCCTAGGGATTTATACTGGACCCAATGCTCTTTAAAATATTCATAAGTGATTGGGATGATGGGATCAAGTGTACCCCGATGAATTTTGCTGACAATACCAAACTGAGTGGAGACGTGGACACTCTGGAAGGGAGAGCCACCCTGCAGGAAGACCTGGATAGGCTGGAAGAGTGGGATAACAAGAGACTTACGGAGTTCAACAAGGGTAAGTGTAAGGTCTTGCACCTGGGAAACATGATCCAGGATTGCAGCACAGGTTGGGATCTATGTGGCTGGGGAGCAGCTCTGTGGAAGAGGACCTGGGAGTCCTGGTGGAAAACAAGCTCAGTATGAGTGAAGAGTGTGCTGCTGCAGCAAAGAGCCCACAGGGTGCTGGGTTGCATCAACAAGGGCATCACCAGCAGAGATGATGAAGTTATTATCCCACTCTACTCAGCGCTTGTCAGGCCACACCTGGAATACTGTGTTCATCTTTG